ATAAATCTGTTTACTCTTGTTGAAAACACTAAAACATGTTCTTTCCAATTACAAAGACTGTCTACACGTAGTCCTAAAAATTTTGCTTTACTAACTTCTAAAATTGTATTGTTAGAACTGATATTTACAGTTTAGGGCTGGATACGGTAAGTATCGAATTGCATGTACACCATTCTATTGTGTGAGCTGTTTTATTTATTTCTTGGTTATATGTCGAAGTATCTTTGCTATCTACAACCAGGGTTACATCATCTGCAAATAGCATGCACTCAGGTAATGAATGTTTAGGCAAAATATTAATGTTCAGTAAGAAAAGCAGATACCGTAAAATACTTCTTTGCGGCACACCCAAATTGTTGTTTACAAATGAAGACCTATACATAGAAACGGTTTTGTTATTTAAACAATACCCCAACGTCTCGACACATTGAGTTCTATTGTTAAGTTCAGGTTTTGCTTGGGTAGGGTTTATTGTTGTGACATTGTATATAAACAAAAGAAAATATTTTCTAACATATTATGGGCAACCTTAGAAAAAGCGGACTATACCGGTATGCCTTCTGCCAAAGTGCAAGTCCATATTAAAACTAGATGCCGTCAGACGCTTTGCTAAACTGTATCAACTGCGCAAGTGAATGTCCTTCGAAAAAAAAATGAAAATTTGTATTTTTCTGCCGTGAAAATGCCTGAAACATCGAATTTACAAAAATATCGGAATCGTTTTCACCCTGATCTATTGACCAACTTGTCCAATCGTGAGTCTACTATCTAATAATGTCACGATTTGAGGCGAAGCCGGAACGTGTCGCTAGTGGATACATTGAGGTGCCACTGTCAGAAACCTTTATTATTATTTTAACCTCTCATACCTACCAGATAGATATATAGGTATTAATTTATTTGGCTATATGCTGAATGATGAAGTTTCGAATTTAAAGAGATGGAAGGAATACTTTGAAAGCGTGTTTATGAGTGAAGAGTCGTCTGTGAATTGAAGTGAAGAGAGATAGAGAGATAAGTGTAGATGAAATAATGAAAGCAATGAAAAGCATGAAAGCAGGTAAGGCAGTCGGATATGATAGAGTATCACTTGAAATGCTAAGGGCTGAAGAAGGAGTGGTGGCAGGCCTGCTGTACGCCTTGTTTAATTTATGTTGGGAACTGTAGCGGGTACCGGAAGACTGGTGCAAAGCCGTTATAGTCCTAATATATAAGGGAAGAGGGTCACAGCCGGACTGTAAAAACTATCGTGGTATCAGCTTGCTTAGCATTGTAAACTGTATGCTAAGGTGTTAATTGAAAGAGTTATGGAAGAAACTGATGGAAAAATTTGGGATGTGCAAGTTGGATTTAGAAAGGAGATGGGGTGTACGAATCAAGTATTTTCCACGCGCATGATTGCGTTAAATTTTTGGTCAGAAACCAGAAAGTTTTTTGTGCGTTCATGGACTTGGAAAAGGCTTGGACTTGACACTTGGACAGGTATGTGTTATGGCAAACACTGAACTCATTTGGGTTGATCGTTGGTTTGATACAGGCATTAATCTCTCTTTATAGGGACTCTAGTGCTTGTGTCAGGATCAACGGGGTCTATGTGGACTGGTTTGGCATTCAAAAAGGTGTCAGACAGGGCTGTGTGGCTTCCCCGTGGCTGTTTAACCTATTTATGTGCAGTTTTTTGCAAACTATGAAAGTTGAAGAATGTGGGTTGAGAATGGGTGAGTTAACCATCAAATGCCTTTTGTATGCCGATGATCGTCGGCAGCCGAGTTGCAAATGATGGTTACTTTAATGAACTGTCCATTAAAAGAAAGGGGTATGAAAGTGAACGCAAGTAAGACGAAAGTGATGGTTTTTGGAAGAGAAGAAAGTAAAACGTCATGTGAAATAAGTATAGAAGGGGATTTGATTGAGCAAGTGGATGAGTTTGTATATTTGGGATGTTTATTTAGCAGGGATGGTAGATATGATGATATAGAACGAAGAGTGAACGCAGGAAATTGAGTGAATGGGGCTCTACACGCTATAATGGAAAGCCAGAATGTGACAAAAAAGGCACGCATGGCAATTCATAATGCTGTGTTAGTCCCTACTTTAATGTATGGTAGTGAAAGTTGTGTCTGGCAGAAGAAAGTTTTGGTCATGTAGAAAGAATGAACGAGGAAAGAGTGACAAAGCAAATTTATTTTGCAGATGTAAACGGCAGAGCCGGGAAGGGACGCCCTAGACGAAGGTTTATCGACCAAATTGGCGATATATTGAAAATGGGTCAGATTAGGAGTACTCCTAATCGACGAGCGTGTATGCGTAGATATATGGATGTAAAAGAGGCGAGATAGGTGTGTCAGGATCGCACCAAATGGAAGTCCGTAGTCTCTGCCTACCCCTCTGAGTGACAGGCGTGAGTGTTTATGTTGTTATTTTTATTTATTACAGTGTATCAAAATCTACAGCTCAATATAAGTCTCGCTCCAAGAATTTTCCATATTTGACATGCTTGGCAGACGCGTTGGCGACCGCAGCCTTTTTATTATTTTGAGCTTGTGACAGGTAACAACGATAATGTCGTCTAAATTGACAATTAAAACTTAATCACCTATTTTGACACTTACGGGTTAAACTTTTTCTCCAATATTTAAAAAAAAGGGGTCATTAAAATCGGTTCAAAATTAACGGAAATATCGCGTAACATACAAAACACAAAATAGAAAGAACATACAATCGCAATTAGTAGTACAAGAGACAGAAGACTTTTCTTAAAATAATATATTGAATGCTAGTGGGACAGCTATCTTCTAACCCAGAGATTATCAAACTTATTTCTTTTATCGCCCCGTTGAAACTCAATTATTTTTCGGCGCCCTCAATTTTTTATACCTTCCTAAAACTTAAAAACCACAATTTCATTACTTTAATTAATTTAGTTATGGTGTGCTATATTAGTTGGTTTTGGTGTTTAAACTTACATTCTAAACTAGACATTATTACCAGTGAGAGCAATTAAAACACATTTAAAAATATTTTAATCAAATTAAAAGAAACAATATAGATAGGTAATCAATTTTGGTTTTAAAACTAATCAAATACAAAATAATAAAACAATAAAAAATAAAAGTTTGTTGATATCTGGTTTGATTTTACTCAAAAACAGTCGTAAGTCGCCGCGTTCGGTAACATGCTAACGATTTCTTTTTTTAGTAAGCACATTATCGCCCACTTTGAGAAAGACTGTTCTAACCGTACCATTACTAATATGGTTAGTTTTTAGACATAAACATCCGTTCTTATGAATGTATTAGACAACAGATAAATCGGAATACTAAAATCATTATTTTCTGATTTGTCCACTGCACTGTGCATGTGCGGGCGTAGGTCCGAAAACCACCAGTTCTATTCATTGCCACAATTTTGCCGGCAATTCCTAATCGGACGAGACTACACTTTTATACATGGTATTGCCACGCTTCAGCTATATAATGATCCGCTCGATCGGGGTAGGACCACGCTTTCACAAGAACACCAGAGTGAAATAGCAGCTTAATGCTGCTGTGTTTCATATGGTGAGTGTAGAGAACCGAAGGCCGTTTTTACTGGAAACGAGGCATTCCATCTTAGTCTTCAGGAGTGTCAAAGCATCTGCATTTTGAAACTTAATCGAAGATAGATATAGGACGTCTTTGGGCCACAGCATCCAATTACCATCAGGTGGACCGTCTGCTCGTTTGTCACCCTTATTCTATAAAATAAAACGCAGAAGACAAAATAAATAAGGCATAAGCATATATACTTATGTCAAATCGATTAAATTGTTTAGTCAAACTGTGTCCTTGAGAAAACTATATGACAAACTTTTTGGTCCATGATAGAGCGCATTCAGTTGTAATCGATTTACTAGTTTTCTCTATCGGCGGTCGTTTTGCAGCACCTACTATCACCACAGTTCATCAAAAATCTGCTAGTGAACATAGGCCTCACCATAGATCGCCACAAAATACGGTCCTTAGCTACCTATGTGTTTACTACAACTTACATGATAAATAAGAACGAGAAAGTACTCGCTTGTGCTTTATTTAATAACAAGCTGTAACTCGCGACTTCGCCCGCGTCAAATTTACTACAATTTCACGGGTTTTCATTTTTTTTTGCACGGAACCCTAATACTTTTTCTAAAATGAAAGTATCCTAAGTTACTCCCTATAACATCAGCTATTTGTCAGTGAAAGTCCCGTCAAAATCGGTGCAGCCGTTTCGGAGACTAGCCGGAACAAACAAACAGATAGACAGACAAACAGACAGAGACGAAAATTTTAAAAATTATTTTTTGTTATTAGTAGCGTATATATTTTCATATGCATATAGTAAAAAGCTGTTACTTTAACATTACAAACAGACACTTCAGTTTTATTTATTTGTATGTATAGAATCATAATAAACAAAAGTAATAATGTATTAAGTTTAGTTTTATAGTTGTAGCACCAATGAGGAAGGACTGTACTCTCACAGAATACCAACTTAGTGCTGCTGTGTTTGTGTGTGTGAGTGTGAGAGTGTACAGAACGAAAAGAGAACGATTGTAGGAAACGAGGCATTCTATCTTAGTCCTCAGGGGAGACAACATATTTGCATTTTGATTCCTTATCTTTTCATCAATTCATCATTATGATTTAAATGTCTATGGGCCACAGCATCAACTTACCATCCGGAGAGCTGTGTGCTAATTTTCACCCTTATTCTACAATAACATTTATGGACTGTGTTATGTATTTATACAGTCTATTTAAGCAAATCTAACGAAATAAAAGGAAATATTACTGCATAAACACAATCATAAGGTAGATTGTACTCACCGATCGCTACACCAGTGGGCATGGTGCTGAGGTAAACAACATCGAGGATGCCCACCCTCAGCGTCCTGTTTTTTAGCGAGGAGGCGTCGGATATGTAAGCGAAACACCCCGCAAATATCGACAAATCGGCTCCGGTTAAGGCACTAGGGAATGCCGCTGTGTATATTACGTACTCTAAAGGCCATGCTGAAACGTTAAGAATAAAATGTTTTTTATTTATTTGTTTAGTTCAGACAATTCACAAAGACAAGTTCAGAAATTGATTTACAAACACTATATCCAGAGTTTACTTAGTTAAAACTACATATAATAGATCAGGGGGAAAGTTTTTTCGTATTTTGTTTGTATAAAATTGAAGAAAAATATATTTGGTTGTACTGCTTGTATCTGGCTGGTTTTAATATCAATACATACAGGACATTAAGGAAAAAGAATTAAAATTAAAGAAAAAAATTTCCCGCCGTTTTTCAATTGGACGTAGTTATACAAAAACTTTCCAAACCACAAGTCATTAAAACATTAGTTAAATATACAGATCTACTTATTTTGACATCTTCGCGAAGATATCAAAATAAGTAGATCTGTATATTTAACTCATTTTTGATCGTCACTCTCATGACTGACTTGACATTGGCAGAATTCTTTTAAGAGAAGCCAAAAAGTAAAGAAGAAGAGGAAGAACTCATTTTTGAATGACTTGTGGGTTGGAACGTTTTTGTAATACTACGTCCAATTGTTTTCTGTCGACCAAAATGAGTGAATCTAACGAGGAAATTCGATACATTCTGAAGATTTATTACAACAAATGGTAAAATACAAAACTTGAAAAAGTATGTGTAAATCCAATTGTGCATGCCCCAAGCGCATTAAAAAAATTACGTATAACATGATTATACGTGAATTTTTTAAAGTAGTATAAATACACACAAGTTTTCACCAATTACCTCAATATTATACTTCCAATTTTCCAACAATTTTATGTCAAACTACAATTTAAAAAAAGTTTGGAAAATCTAAAAGTGCACGACTCATAATGCTCATATGATCATCACATCGTCATTCAAGTCGTATTGTCGCATTAGCTTAAATGCAGAGCGCTTATTAACCTTAACTTACGCAAAGCCGACAGATCAATGTTCAAATTCATCGTTTAGGCAAAGAGTGTTTCAAAGAAATAGACATACATACATACACTCAAAAATCATTACCCCCCTTATGTAGCAGTCTGGTAAAAAGAATATTTAGGGGACGTGAAGTTCGATCGTGGCCACTAGAGCAAGATGAATCTTCTTTATTTTATCACTTTAATTGACTGATAGTTATTGGCCGTTTTAAGAATGCGTTAATCACGCTTGGCAGGCGCTTTTGTAAGAACAGTGTCTATCGATAACATATGGTTAACATTGCTCCACATACATATTTAAAGACAAGTTTTCAAGTCGTTCTTTTCTTTTAAGCATTATATCTATTATATATGTATTTATTTAAAATTTACTTGAGGCAGATGTCTCACTCATCGTGCTTCTTTGCAGTTCAATTTACTGGTATGTTACTTATGCAGCTTTAGATTAAATTCGCATTTGCTTTAAAATTATCGTCAATATACACAAAAAATGGTTTATCAATACTATGTCAAAGCTAAAGTATTTTTTTTTTCAAAATTCGCCGTTGCCAAGCACTTTTTGAAAGTCAAAACTGTTACATCACTCCAACAATAGGGACTATTGCTTATAGACCTTGTGAGAAGAGGCGACAAGAAAGATAAAAAAAATAAGGAAGAAACTTTCATATTCTTTGTCTTGTTTGTTTGTTTGTTTTAATATTAAATTTGCAGATAATAGATTCAGGTAAAATATGGTCCCGTGGTCCGATTACCAGTTGAAACCAACATATGTTTTCACTTCAGACAAGAGGAGGTACTCAATTCGACTGTTTTTTCTATTTGTGTTACCTCATAACGTTTTCTGGGTGAGCCGATTTCGATGATTCTTTTTTTTATTTGAAAGCTGGTGCTTCAAATGTGGTCCCATATAAATTGATCAAGGTCTGACCAATAGTTTTTGAGTAATTCTTAATAATTTATATTGAAGTCGGTTGCACAAAATTTTAAATTATAAAACATGACGTTTTTGGGACCCAAACATATCGCGCAGAATAACGCCATCATAATTATTAGGCTAAATATATTTTAACAACTATTCCTAATACTAATATAGCTGCAGCTTGATTCTACCACGTATCGCAATAAACTTAGGCAAACATTATGGTTTGATTATGGTTGAAGCACGAATGGTCAGCCCGACCGGGCTAAGATCAGGCTCTCACAAATCCCAGCGGAAAATAGCAGCTCAATGCTGCTGTTTCGTATGGTGAGTATAAAGAACAGGAGACCCTTTTTACTGGTTACGAGACATTCCATCTTAGTTCTTAAGGGGTGAAACCGCATTTGTATTTTCCTCTGAATTGAGGATAGATGTAGATGCTATGGGCCACAGCAACTATTTATCATCAGGTGGACTGTGTGCTTGTTTGTCCAGTATGCTGTAAATACTGTGTTTGATTCATTTAAACAGATTGACAAACATAAATAAATTTGTCAATTTTAAAGCAAACCTTTCGATCGCTCGGCGGGACGCGTGCAGAAGTCAAATGAAAAACGCTGCTTGGCTGTTGATTAAACGTGAAATATATACGTGAAAATGCTGTACCATTGGAAATTTTTGGGTATCATATAACATATTTATTAGTAGGATGCGTAAATATAATGTGTTTCGCGCAATAAACCGCAGGCGCAACTAGTTATTATGCTCGTAGCATTAATTTTATTTTTCACCAAATGATAAACGTATAACTTAACACATTTTCCCTTTCCTTCATGCATACAATTACACTTAAGAAATATTAATTACGAGGGTGACACTAAAAGTTGAACAAACTAGTAAGTTACTAGTTTTATTATATCTTATCAACATAGTGTCCATTTACATCAATATATCGCTGCATCCGATGGAACCACTGAGAAAAGCACTTTGCCCACTCGTCCTCCGTTGTAGTGGCTGCGTTTCAAAATTTCCGTCCACATTTTGAAACGCAGCCACTGCTTCCTCGGCGTTTTTCTTTTATTTTCGGTAATAAATAAAAATCGCAAGGTGCGAGGTCGGGGCTATAGGGCGGATGACCCAGTAATTCTACGTCTGACGTCGCCAAGTAATCGATTGTCTGCTTGGCGGTGTGCGACGAAGCGTTGTCGTGGTGAAGGAGGATCCTACTGCTTGGTTGTCTCTCCCGAACTTTTTCCTATACAAGTGGAAAACAATTGTTAGTTTACCACTCTTCAGTGACTGTTTTTAGATCCTCTAAAACAATTGTTGCGTAATGACCTGTCCTTCCGAAGAACGAGGCCACCATCTTTTCTCCCACGCTGTGACCTCTCTTCACTTTAGTTGGCAACTTCTCGAAGGAAACACTCAGACAGCAGACTGTCTCTTAGTTTCAGGATCATAATAATAAATAAAGCTTTCATCACCCGTAAGTATGTCGAACACAGCATTTGAGTAACCTCCGTTAAATCTTTGAACCATTTCGACATCAATCAATATGACGGAGTTTTTGGGCCTCTGTCAAATTATGAGGTATCCACTGGGCACAAAGCATCCTGACCGCTAAATTTTCATGGAGGATTTTGTGCACTTGACTCATACCGATGCCTAAGCTTGTCCGAATCTGCTGATAAGTCACTCTTTTGTCAGTCTCTATCATACGTCGCACGACACTGATGTTGTCTTCAGTCGTCGCCGTAGAAGGCCGTCCCTCACGCAGATCATCGGTGAGATAAGTGAGACCACGTTTTAACTCATTAAACCAGTTGTAAACAGTGTCACGTGATGGGGCTTCATCGCGAAAGGCCAATCGAAGTCTATCATAACTTTCTTGTTGACTTAAATGACATCGAAAGTCATAAAAAAATCATTGTACGAAAATTTTCTCGCGTTAAATTCATGCTGACGTAACACATACAATTTTCAATTTGTGCCAAATGGTAAACAAATGACAAATTAATAAAATACATACACAATAATATTAACAGAGTTCCATTTTCAAAATTTGAACTAATTTTTTATTATATCGTTTACAAGTGGCCAGTTCTAAAAACTTTCAGTGACGCCCTCGTAATCATCTCTGTTATTGAATTTAAAACAAGACAATTATATATATATTTTTAATTACCTTTTATAGTATTGAGGGTAATAACAATAGAGAAATAAAGTTTTCCCAATAGTCCGGCAAGCAGTATGGCTTTCCGTCCACGCTTGTCGCTGTAGGAGCCAATAAAGAAAGCCAGTAACAATGGGACTATGTGGCTCGCGATGCCGTTCCACTGATGGAATGTTGAAACTGTCACCTGGAAATGGAAATATTGCATACCGATTAAAAATTGTGGCAAAATAATGCAAGGCTTGTTTAATCATAACTTTTCGGCGTAAGAGAATGCGTAATAAATAAAAATGTTATACGTTAGTCAACCGGAATCGTGAAAATTTGCCCCTCATCCTCCCTTTATTATATATACCAAGTGCTTGACAACAATCCTACCTGCACCTGATGGTAATTTCTGATGTAGTCCTAGATTGTAATCCAGCTATACTATGACAATAGGAGGTCAAACATCTTAGTGCTACCGGAACCACGGGTGCTACAAAGCGCTCGTAATCTTGCCAATTTAAATTAAGTTTAACTCGTGGTGTACACTGTACGCGTAATCATAAGTGATTGGAAGCTGTCAAATATGCAAAACAACGACAGCTGGTTTCTTCTGAAACTAAAAAGAACAAGAAGCAAATAACTCTTTTGCTCTTTCTACATCTAAATAAGTAACAGATACCATTTCGTCCTATACACAATATCCAAACGCAATAGATTTAATAACTAAATGTAACGTCTTCACAAGAATCGTTAATGGATTTTTCTTATGGTAAAGGCCGTATTAGTGAAACTTTACGAGGAACTCTCCCATCTCTACCATTGTATCCCCACACCTATTCTGCTAGTGAATAGAGTAGACTCTCCCTAAAGTTATAAGGAAAAAAAAAACAAAAACATACAGTTGAATCGAGTACCGTATCATTTTTGGAAGTCGGCAGAAAATGCTGTATACTGCAAGCAGCTATTAGTCAGTGTGAAATTAACGCCAATCAAGTCATTGAATCAATCGGGAATCATTAGAAAACCGTATAGTTAAATCATTTTAGTTAAAATAATGTTCATTTAATAATAGTATATTCTATTAAACACATCGAGGTTTCTACCCGACTACACCAGGAGGGTAATATTGTATGTACATATGTATGTATGTATGTCTATTTCTTTGGCACTTAAGTCAGAAAAAGTTAAACGCCTAGGCTTTGCCTTCGACTATTTAAAAACAATGTCAGCAACGCTAAAAAACTTAGGAACAAAATAATTTGACTTTATACTAATTTTATAAATATGTATCACGCTCAGTAGATGTTATCAATTCAAACAAAGTAATACGAGTATGTTTGAACTGATAACATCTACTGAGATCGTTAAGAGATTGTGTAAGTCTTAATGCAACAATAAAACGCGTCAATTTGTGAACATTGCATTTATTACAACATTTCATATCTAAGACATCAAAATCAACATCAAGAGCCGTGGTAGCTCAGATGATTAGCGCTCGCTCAATTTTACAGTACGCGAGCAACCCGCGTTCGATCCCCGCCGGCACCAATGAATATGTTAATTGCAAATTTTAAGTGCTGATTTACCACGTGCTCGGCGGTGAAGGAAAACATCGTGAGGAAACCTGCATGTCTGAGAAATAAGAATAAAAAATAAATTTCGAAGACACGCATTGGGGCAGCGCGGCGGACATATCCTTGCCCTAAAAACTCTCTCGGAAATGAGGGCTGTGCCCAGCAGTGGGACGTATATAGGCTGTAACTTTATATCCAAGACATCATACATTATAAGATTACAAAAATAATATAGTGGTATGTGTTCAATTCAACCTCTCAAATCAACTTGTCATCGGGAGTCGATATTTATGTAACATTTATTGCAAAAAATATGAATAGTGTTTAATGAAAAGTAAATGGTGATCATTACTTGTGAAATGATTTGGAATCGATATTATAATTGGTCAAAATATGCGAGACAAAAAAATCATTTAAGTGCGAATGTTGGAACGTACGTATATTAAATATATGTATATACAAGCTATTAAGGCATACGATGTTCTGCCCTTTCGGACGACCCTAAAAAATCCTTAAATTGGCAATAAAAAATATTGAGGGTCACTTATCGGGATCACAGTGTGCAAAATTTCGTTGAAATCAGTTCAGTAGTTTAGGAGTTAGTTAGGAGGAGTTCATCGCGGACAATGTGACACGAAATTTTTATACATAAAGGTATATCTTTCTCCCAGTATTGAAACGACAATGTACAGCTCCTGCCTAATAGCACAAAAAACTCCCCAAAAAAAGCGAATAACAAGTTTCACAAAATTAAATACCATACGTAACTGTGCAGTTTATAAATAATAACGCACAGTCCACTTGATGGTAAATGGCTTTTTTTTAATGTTTATTATACAAAAATACATTCAATTATTTCTTACACTACTTTCGCCAAACTGCAGGACAGTTTGTTGGCGAATACATCACCCACTTACATTCTATGTACCTACTGTAATTATTAACTTAATCTTGGACTTACAACTTAAAATAGAAGAAAAAAATCCTAATGCTATGCTATGCTAATGCTAAAAGGCTAGTGCAGCCCTTCCTTCAACTTCATACAAGCAAAACTACAGGTGCATAATCACATCGGAGGACCAAATTGGGATGCTTCATAGCCTTTTCTTACGTTTGCACACTGCGCGAGCGTGGTATTTTCCCGGTGAAGCCGATTCATTCGTGCTGGAGCCATAATGGGTGTAGTGTTGCTGTTCCACGTATGAACGGAGGGGGAGGGGGTTGATCGATTCTCTTACCCTTTCGTTACATATCGACATCTTTATTTTTTTCATTCATAATAGCCTATCATAGGTTGAACATAGTCGTCCCTCATAGGTTACCATGCTAGGCTGGCGGCTAGTTGTGATCAGAAAGATGCTGCTGGTCATCCTCCTTTTCATTTCCCTCTGTCGCCTCTTACGACACCCACAGTATGATAAATAGCAGTGGATTCTCGAAAACCACACACGGCATCTATGCTATAGTAGATATATAAATTTTTCACCTGTACTTCATTATTAATTTCCTTGTAGCTGCTAATATTGTGGCATATCTCCTCGCTGTATCCGTGGTTGATTGTGCACGCCTTAAATACGTAGAAAGTTTGCTCTATCACACTTGTAATCATAAATGCCAGCATATAAAAAAACATCACAGGTTCCACTGTTACATATTTGTACCAAGGTAACTTCGCCTTTTCCTAAAAAAAAAACCACAAACTAAATATTTGGCATTTCATTATTACATTTCAGTGAAGATATATTAAGAAGATACTAATTTATAGACTATGTCTAAATCAGATGGATTTGATAGGTATATCTTATAATACTGGTGACATTTTTTCAGAACACCTGATGATTAGCGGCTACTAGTCTGTGGACATCTGCAGCGAACTTCAAATAATGAAGTCTACAGATGCATTATCACCTAATTTTAACTATCATAAGGCCGTGTTTGACTACTATCTCATCTTATGGTGAATAGGATGCAGCCAAAAACGGTAAAGCGCATTTAGCTTAACAAAAGTTTATTTTACTTTTGTCTTGAAGACACCTACTTGTAATCGGATGGAAAGACGCTGGCAAATTATTCCAATCCTTTGCTGAACGCATAATGATCGACGAAGCAAAGCATTTGGGTCGAATATGTGGTATGTTGACAACGAAGGTGTGAAAACCAGTCGAGTGTCTGGTGGTTCGATGATGGCACTGAGAGGGAGGAATTAACTAGTGCTATTTCTGCGCATACTCTCCGAAATATATCCTGTAAAACACCGAAAGACTGGTAAGATTGGTACTAACCATATTGGTGTCATCAATAAATCTTTTTGTATGCTTTTATTTATTTGGATTGAGTCTAAAGTCTGAAGTCGTCGGGATTTAGGCTTACACCCGTACAAAATTCAACTGACCCAGGAGCTCAAAGTTCATGACTATAGACAACGCCGTTTGTTCGCTGACTGGGCTTCGAATCATTTAGAAGAGGACCCAAATTTTGTCCGAAAAATCATCTTTAGCATTTTTGGATGAATGGTTATGTTAACAAGCAATAACAAGGCAATTCTGCTGTACATAGGCTGCACTAAAAGTATCGGGAATGGAATATTTCCACTGTTCCTGTCATATTAAAATCTTTTTAATTGAAAACTCCTTGGTTTTAAAAATCGAATACCATTTATTTATTTAAAAAAAGATTCTCGGTCTTGTCACAAGGTTTTGTCAAACTTGTTTAGTCGTTGAGAAAATGGAATTGACTCGAGAAAATTAAAGAGCTATGATTTATTATGACTTTCGAAGTGGTTTAACACAAAACCAGTGTGTTAACCGGATGATTTCTGCATTTGGTGATGAAGCCCCATCCAAAACCACTATTTATCGCTGGTTTGCTGAATTTCAACGTGGACGTGTCAAGCTCAGTGATGATCCCCATCAAGGTCGTCCAAAAACTGATTGAGGAAGATCGACATGTGACATACCGCGAAATTCAGGCAACTTTAGACATTGGCATGAGTCAAATACAAATAATCTTGCATGAACAATTAGGTGTAAAAAAGTTGTTTTCCCGATGGATACCGCATTCGCTCTGTGAAGAGTAAAAAGCGGCTCGCGTTACTTGGTGCGTCAGAACTCTCGAAAGATTCCACGCAGGATCCTTAAATGCTGTATACAACATCGTATCAGGTGACGAATCCTGGATATACTCGTACGAACCCAAAAAAAAACCAGTCACGAGTTTGGGTGTTCGAAAATGAGTTAAAGCCAACAAAAATTGTTCGTTCACGGAGTGTTGCAAAAAAAATCGTGGCCACGTTTGTCTCCAAAACCGGCCATGTTACGACTATTCCTCTTGAGGGACAAAGAACGGTTAATGCAGAATGGTATGCTAGCATTTGTTTGCCACAGGTAGTTTCCGAACTCCGTAAAGAGAACTGCAACCGCCGCATCACGACAATGCGAGTTATCACACCGCACACAGAACAAAAGAGTTTTTAGAGCAAGAAAACATAGAATTATTAGACCATCCGCCGTACAGCCCCGACCTAAGCCCTAGTGATTTCTATACTTTCCCTAAAATAAAGAATAAATTGCGTGGACAGAGATTTTCATCACCTGAAGAAGCTGTGGACGCCTACAAAACGCCCATTTTGGAGACCCCAACTTCCGAATGAAAAGGTTGCTTCAATGATTGGTTCCATCGTATGGAAAAATGTGTCAAATTTTGCGGAGAATACTTCGAAAAGCAATAAATACATTTTTAAATAGTAATGTTGTGTCACTTCCTTGATTCCCGAAATTTTCAGTGCGCCCTCGTATATGGGGAGACACCAATCCACGCGAGGTTCACCAGGTGATAATGCATTCTCAAAAAGTCACCGTTTGGTGTGGATATTGGGCCGACGGCGTTATTGGTCGTACTTTTTACCGAAAACGACGCTGGTGAGGCAGTCACCATCAACGGCGAGCGCTACAGAACGATGATAACCAGTTTATTATGGCCCAGATTGAACCATATGGTCCTAGACGACATGTGTTTCCAGCAGGACGGCGCTACGTGCCACACAGCGGACGCCACGATTAACATTATCCATGAGCACGGCGAGCAATCGACTGCCTCGCGTTTTGCTGTACACTTTTACAAACCGCGACGATTTTCTCGGCCAATCTTGCGTTCCTTGAACGTACGGGTGTTGGCTGATTGTTCACGGAACCGGTCGTTTTCAAATTGGCCACCAAACGTTGAAGAGTTAAATGTGAAGGGCCACCACGTCTACCGTAAAATGGACGCAATGCGTGCAACGAACAACTAACGAACACTCATTTTGATAATGAAGTTTTATCATTTGAACTTGTTGGCTGTTCAATCGTGTAACTTGCCATGGTGATTTGGCATAAATAACTGAATAATAAACGAAATATTTAATAGATGTCACCAAATCAAAATGGCCATCTAATCTACCTGCGCCAATTGAAAAACTCTTTAGTGAAAACAACTGTCCCTGTTAAAGCATCGCTGCACACCTAACTTCCTTGCTGCTGCTTTGGCCTGGACTCAATGAAACGCTCAAAATTCAGGTTCGAGGAAACATCAACCCCCAGCAACTGAAGGCGATTGGTAGATTCCAATTGTACATTTTGGAAAGGAACCAAGGTGAGTTGGCTCCTGTCAACATGGGGACGCGGCAAAAAGCGGTCTTTGCGGTGAAAAGACTTGCTTGGTTTTTCGAGGCGTTGAATCTCACAAAATTGGTATCGTCCCATTCGGATACTGCCTGCACCGAGAGATTCACACGTTCAACAATGACTGCTCTTTTTGACTCGATTTTACTCGAAGAGAGTTGCAGAGAGAACGGATCCCTGAGGAACTCCGGTGTTTGTCATTATAGGCTCGAAAGAGTAGGCTTTGTAAACGACTCTGTGACTTCTATATTCAAAAAATCCTTTACCAGCTGATCACAGACCAGGGGATAAAGCCGTACGCTGAAAACTTGCCGAAAAGGCAAAAGCATGCAAGACCCTGTTAGGCTTTTGCGGCCAGGGAGGGAACTACCGAATTATAACTTAATACATGCGCATTCACTAAGACACAGGACTCGATGTAACGCCTAATATATGGGGGACAATTACAAATCAATCCAAACTCGAAAACCAACAATTCGTGTTTTACATAATTAATGGTTTTTCACTTTGGTAGGATTTTCATTTTGAAACAATTAAACTGACGTCTAGCGCTAATGTTGTAAACACGCCAAGGCAAGCTTGCTTCAAATTTACTATACAAATAAGGTCACAGAATCATTTCACGAGGGCCTGTGAACAATAATGCGAAAAGTTCCTCTTTATGCGAAGGTATTCGTGTAAAATCACGTAACGTTTGTTTTCTCTTACGTGATTCGCCTATTATAGATTCAATATTTATCTCATAGATTAAATATTTCACTGCTAGCACATTTCTTGCCGTAACAGCCGACAAAAGGCGACTTTCTTCGTCTATCAAAGTTAGTCGATCGTGCTGATTTTTTTTCATATCAGCGGCACACGATTTCATAAAAAGGGCATTTATCCATAAATGTCATTTTAAGTTTACTAAACAATTCAGAAAGAAGAGCTCGGAAATTGAGCAATCCACATTTATTAAAGTAAACAAACAAGCACACAGTCCACCTCATGGTAAGTGAATGCTGTATTCCATAGACATCCACATCTATCCTTGATAATCAAAATGCAGATGTTTGGCATCCATGAGGATAAATTGGCCTTACTTTACTTATTAGCTAATAGGACCTTATTGTTAGTAAAAAGGGCTTTCACTTGTCATTATTAATCATATTATGAAACACAGCAGCATTATGCTTCTATCACTAACAGTGATCTTTCCCTAATGGAAGCTTTGATAGTTTTGAAATGATGAACAACATTTTAACACATATCAGTGATTATGTCATTGTAAGGTACTAAACAATTATTAATTTTTATATTCTATATACATCTTATAATGATACAAAGTTTTATTTGCTATTAACTAATTAGGGGGTCATTGTAGAAGCGTGCTCGTCGCGACCCCTGCCAGCCCTTTTCAGGGCTGCAATTCTACTCTGCTTCGCACCCATGACAACGAGGGTTAGGGCGTCCCCCCAAGGCGACGCACACCAGCTCGTCCCCGTTGGTGTGGAATGCAGCGCGCAAAGCGGCGATGGGGACCGCCACCCGTCACGCACAGCCCGACACGGCGGAAGGTGGAGGACAGAGTGCAGAGTTGGCACGTGAATTGTTAGAGGAGGCATGACAGATAAGACGAATGAGTTGATCGAAATAATGAAAGAAAGAGAATTAGATGTCGTGTGTATGTCGGAGACCAAACGGAAGGGCAGTGGTACTGAAGAGCTCCCTGGCGGGGCGTTAGCTCTATGGTCCGGAGTCCCGGAGAGCGAGAACGCCTGCCAGGGAGTGGGGTGCTGCTGTCTTCTCGGTTGGTCGATGTTATGACTGAATATAAGGTTGTGAACTCAAGACTTCTCTGGGTTCGCTTTAAATTGGGACTGACGAAGTTATTCCTTTTGGCTGTTTATGCGCCGGTAGCTTCGTCGTCCAGGGCTGAGCTGGAGGAGTTTTGGGAGAATGTAAGAGAAGTTCTAGATTTGGCTAGGGGAAACGAAAGAATTGTTGTATGTGGTGATTTGAATGGATGGGTTGGTACCGCTCG